TGCACAGCGTGCAATCAGCATAATTTATCGGGCAACAGCAGCGCGCGCGATTTGAAGTACATGTATGTACATGTACGTGAAGTAGGCCTACACAAAGAGAAGGCCCCTGTTCCAAAAATAAAAAGCGCACTAAAATATAATGCATTTCAACAAAATTTACAAAAGTGAGTCTAAAATTTAGTAAAAAATATACATACACTTGTTCTGTGCAATATCTACAATGGACGTGTAAAAAACACACAGATCTTACTAAGAAAGAATTTTGTTCCTAAAAAGTAAATGCCTAGTCATGCCTATTCTGAACTGAAAGCAGTCTCAGAAAATCGATGTTTTTTGGGGGGGGGAGACAGTGAAAACATGAGGAAATTATTCTTTATTTAGTCTCAACTTACATTGTTTGAAATTGAAAAGGCATCATGTTACTCGGGTTATTTTTTATAAGCATTTGGGCATCTCGAACTTGAACAGTGCTGATTAAATCAGGATAGCAACAGGAAATGAGAACAAAGAAGAACCCATTTTGCAAAATTAACCAAAGAATAAATTTCCTGTCCCACAGACATCAGATCTAGTAGTTTCAGATAAAAACAATTGCTGTTTTTTACACATAAGCCATTTGAACTTCACAAAAGGACCACTCTACCAGCATAAGAGACCTGCACAAAAGCATCTCGGCTTCTCAGTACTTCCATATACATGCATTAACATGTGGACAAAATGAAAAACTTTATCTATTGCCATTAATTAAACCAAGGTTCCATGGGACGAATTTCATCTTCAGAGTATGAACATTATTTGAATATCCTTTCGGGGTAGAATGTAAATTGAAAAGTGCCCTTTTTTAAAGATTTAAAATTGTCCAAGCTTTTCTGGAAAACTGACAGGTTTGAAGACTTGACAAATATCAAATTCCACAACAAAGAGAGCGCTGAAATGGTAACTGTTAAAATCATCTACATGTGCTTACTGTTGGAAGCAACTTTTGAGGATTTTAGTCAAGAAAAATATTTGATTTTTAAGAAATATACATACGAAAATGAACACAACTAGACAAAATCTGGAGAGGTCGATATATGTTCAGCATCTACTAAATTTAGCCATCTACAGTTGCTGACACTTCAGAAAAAGTAAACAAGAGTTTTGTTTGTTCTTCCCACCATGTGTTTATTCCTTTCCAGAGAGAATCAAGGTACAGGTGTCATAATTACATTGAATTAACGCTAACCAGTTAAATCATATGAACTGTCATTATACCAGCTATAGCATAAACTTGTAGATCATGCTCCATATACACGTGTATGAAGTAATGGAGCATGAACTATACGGAACACTGACACTCTGTTTACATGTGGGCTTTCCTCTCATGATCAGTGGAGAATGGGCCCCCACTGACTCCATACAAAAGTGCATGTGTAAACAAAGTGTCAGGCCATCCATATGTAGGCCTATTGTGAGCCCCAGCATTGAAGCATAGAGCAGGGACCCAGGGACACACTTTGATGACTCTGTTTCCTCTGTTTCAGTCAAAAAGGGTCATCACAGGTCAACAAGCTGATCACATGGTGGTCACAGGACACCCAGTCTGGGACCTTGCCCTATGATTCAAGTCGGAGTACAATGGGACTGCTTTTAGGATGCACTCCTTGTGGTGACCTAATTACACTCGACCTGGGGCCCCTGTTGAACACTGCTATGCCCCATGAGCGACCTCGGATTGACTTCAGTACTTTGAACCTTAGATAATACTTGTATAAATTTCATGTGTGTTTTACTTCTGCGGTACTTAATGATGGTAACGGTATAAGATCATGTAGCACTGTGCAGCAGTGCAAGATGGAGAATTTCACCATGTGTAAAACGTCGTAATCGCATTTCTTCCATTCCACTTGCCTGGCCAATATGATGAAGCCCAGCTCGCCCAGCAGATTTAAGCCTGTCTCATCCTTATCATTCTAGGACAGACTTGGGCAACTTTGCTTGGACCCTGAGTGCAGAAACACCTCATAAAATCAAGCCAACTTTACTGTTACCTAACAATTCTCTAAAATGTAAGAATACGGTGCTGAGGACTATTTCACAGGACGATATGAAGTCCCCATCAAAATGTGGCAATATCTCTTGCATAGTTGCAGCAATTCACTAAATTCTGTGATTATTTTATAGAGTAATGTATGACTCGAGTCCTGTTCATTTGCTCGCAATGACTCAAAAAAACGTCATTTATCTTTGGGACTCAAGTTGAGACACAAAAACTTGTAGGGGGCCTAACTCCAGTCAGACTCAAGTTGAGTCACTAACTCGAGTTACACAAAAGGTTCATGGCGCTAGTCATGTCACCGTGGTTACCACAGTCATCCAATACTAGCCTATCCCATGTTTCTTGTGTCAGTAAGACCAGCTGGATGGAACGAAATCTGGGGGAAAAATCAGATCATTCCACATCTTCCACTGTCAGTAGTAAGGAATTCTTGTCAGAATGAACCAACCTGTTCCTCAGCTCCCACGAGGGAGAGGGGTACAGAATTGTCGTATTGGTGGCGTCCACCTCCTCTCGATCTCGTAAAATTTTAATCTGTGTATACGGATGTTAACTTGGCACGTTTAGGAATAGAGGCATCTCTATTCTGGGATTTAATGTTAACTTTGCACGCCCTAATCTCGAACGGTGATTCAATCGTACGTTGAAATTACATCCCATTCGTCAGCGACGACGGGACGAAAATGAGCTGAGGAGGAAGCTTCATGCTGCCAGTGGCCCGCGCGCGAGGCGGCCGTTAAAGTCAAAGGGCGCCACCATTTAACAGGTCGGTACGCTTTGCCCGCCTGACCAGCCATTAATATGCGCGCCCGGCTTGTGAGACGTGTCATACACGGCGAAAAAATAATTTAAGCCCGTATCCAGCTGGCCAGCAGGAGAAGGCGCCTTTTGTCGAAAAGATGTTCATGTAAAAAAAAAAATTTCTCCTTCCCGTCCTGGCTTTCCATCATTCGCTTTCTTTCCTCCATGTTTCCATCACGGAAGAAAATATCGAGAATATTTTTGGGAACAAAATTCCTCCCGTTTCATCCATTACTAGTTTTGATTCGAAACTGTCGAAGCTAGTGGTATTAGCTTGGATTTGCAATAGGCAAAATATGAGAGATTAAACAAGAAAACAGAGAGAAATGGGGGTGGAAATCACCAATTTGCTGAAAAAAAAATAGCTCAGAACCGACCCCTTCCACCATTAATCAAATAACAGGAGAATACATATTGTTACAGTAAAGCAATCTTAACCTGTAATTTTCATTAAAATGTTCCATTAATTACACATGCGTATTTTACCCCCTAACCTCCCCCCCAACAGAACACAAAAATAGCACTGCACAAACCCTCAGCAACTGATGTAAAGGCTTAACATGGCATTGTCACAAAGAAGACGATTCACTCGATGTTTTGTTTGACAGCCATGTTTACATCTTACACTCCAGATCGTGAACTGATAATCCGGTAGTCGGCCTGTGTATATAATAGCATGTAGGTCTTTAAACAGTTTGCCCTGGATTCGTACGAAGCCTACCCGGTGGGCTATGCAACCGGGTCCTCAAGTAATATTAGGCTAATGAGAATCGTGGCGATGACACGGCGAAGTGGGATGACTGTCTGGGTTGTCTGTCCGGTCCCAGACAAGAAACTGGTTTGAGGATGATTGGATTGTCAGTTAGCAAGGTGCCACAATCAGTGCTAGCGGGGAGTTGTCGCGATGGAACTTGCTTGCAGAGAGGCGTAAGGCGGGAGATGATGTAGGGTCTGCAATTGAACGACATGTGAGCGGACAGCAAGAGATTCACGGTTGCTGTTGACAACAAAGGATCGCCCAGCAAGGGTTCTGCCGAGATGAGGAAAATTCAGGACTTTTCCCGGGGGGGAGGGGAACTCATCAGCAAAACTGATATATCATATCCCCCAAATATAAAAACTTTCACGATGTTGAAATTACAAATGACTACCAGTACCTGAAACAGTGCGCACACTGTTGGGGCAAAATACACCTGGTAGACCAATAACAGTTTTCCTCAAATTTCACAACTTCACTCATATCATTCCTACCAGCTTTTCTTTTTTCATGAGGACAGACAAAATGGGTCTCTGCTTAAAGTACATGGTGCATGCGTCAAACAAAAACACCCAGAGATATATATGTGATTCATATTTATATTTACATAGGCTTACTATAACCCTAATATTTAGTGCAGCTTTCTGTATTTGTCGTCACATCTCATGGACCACTTTTCTGAAGTGTTTTTGAACGGCAAAGGGGGCAAATGTAGATTTTCACAAAAGGATTTATCATAAATATCAATATTTTGAACTATAATAAATGTATCTGAGTATTTTCAATTGAAGTGCATACTGTGAAATTAAGTTGAGATACAATTTGTCTGACCTCATAAAGAAAAAGTTGGCAAAACTGTTCCAAACAGTAAAAAATTGAGGAAAATTTTTCTACAAATGTATTTAAAATTTTTGCCCTAACTATATATCTTGGTCCCTTCTTGTGAACTGTATACATTTCAGGTTGGGTGATGCATTTGTCATATTGGAAAGTACCTTCAAAAACACTCGTTCATACCAGAATCTCTGATATCAAAGCCAGACACAATTCTAAACCAAATCCATGCAGTCCTATTTCGTTTATGGTTTTCTTTCATTTGCGAAAAAAAATCATCTTTTCTTAAAATCATTTTCAGAAGTGGGGAGCCATAAACACGCTGTCGTTAAACGCAAAGAGTTTAGTTTAAGCACAAAGAGTGAATTAACCAGAGAATCTGTCGACACAGTAATTCACTGCCGAGAAATTATACATGCACTTGCTAAATTCAATCTCTGATTACATAATCGAAAGCCATTACCGTCTGCTACACATTTGTGTTTGTTCCGAGTCATTCAATTACCGAATACTAAAAAGGCCTGTTATCCGGAGAAGAGGCTTACATTGTTCTTCGCGCATTTCTGGCTCCACGACAAAGAAAAACGATATCGACGAATTGCATTTCTTCACTTGGAACCGGACGAGCCGACGAGGCAGAACCGAGGTAGCAGATGGCGCGGGGATGGAGATAAATCCCTCAGCGCCATTAGTCCCGGCGCTCCATCGCGACTCCCATCAATTAGGCTCCGACAGCCCACCGCGACAAAATGCCGGGTTGGCCCCCCTCGCCCAAGTCGCCTCGTCGCGTTCGGAGCGCCTATACAGCCGACCCCACGGCCCGGGCCCCGGCCGTCAACCGTGCCCGGGCGGTGTACATGCCGTGCGCACTCGAGCAGACGACGTCGTAATTAGTGCCAACATATGCTGTGGTAATGCACCGGCGGTCGGTTGGGCGACTCCGGACTAGTTAGCGGCGAACCGGGCATATGTTGTGTTATCTGAGCGCCTGTGCCCAGTCCAAAGCATTGTGTCAGTTTTCATGTTGTCGTACATCGGGCCACTTTAAAATCAAGTTCAATCACGATTTCTGCTGATTTGATACGGGTTAGCAGGCATTCCGCTGACCGGAAGGGTCACTCTTTGTAACACAGACGCTCTTCATTTGATTTGAAAATGTACATCGATCGGGGACGATGTCGTCTTCTCCACCAATCGGCAATGACAGTTTCGCAAGTTTATTGCTGAAAATATCTTTAGTCGATAAAATCAGCACGGGAAGAAACGCTGGAACTGGGGGGTCGAAAGCGTGAGGAAGAATAACATTGAAGACCCAAGACACAAGCAGGCAAAATGATGGAAAAAGAATAAAGCAATAAATGTATAAAGGCAGAATAATGCTCACTTATCTTGCCTTAGGACCTATATCAAAATGTAATGCATCTCCGATTGTTAACAACTGAGGCCTTTGTACAAAAGCGCAAAAATTATCAAGGCTAAGTTAATGGCATTGAATGTTAGATTAGTCACAAAGTTTCAACCAATCATTGTTTTTACAAAGCTTCCAGTTAGCCATCTACATGACCATCTTCAACATTGTTAATAAGTCACTATCCGATTGGACGACGTCAAACTTCATGACAACGGTGCACGCTCGTCAAGCCGGCTGACGACGCAATGCAATAATCCTTGCCCGGAGACACGCTCGGCAAAACCACTCTCTTCGCGCACCGTATACGCTGGAGTGCATGCAGGTCGTTAGACACTGATAGCGGAGACTCATTATGTTGCAAAGTAGTTCCGAACCAATCATCGGTGAGCGAGCTGAAAGCTCGAGGGCCCATGCACTCGGCTCGCAGACGACAAGATCAACCCGTCCGATCTTTGGTGCTGACAATCTGCTCTCCTCTCACTGCGGGTTGAACCGGGCTAACACTTCACTGTACTGATCAACATCCTCGCTGCATATATCCTGGCGGGAAAACACTCGTAACTCTTCAGCATAGCAACTACATGAGGAAGGATTCGCGGACTGAGCGGGACAGCCGCCGATTCTGATCGGCCAGAATAGTTTCCGTTGAGGTTAGAGAGTTTGCGGCTGACACCGCTGCATACCAAACAATTGTTTTCTTTTGCCGAATGAACCAATGATGACACGTGCCTTTTTGAAATTTGTGCGCCTCAGTCAAAATTGACTCAACAGTCTGTTTATCGCATAATGTCCAAAGTGAGGAAATTTACCACATAGAAGGTATAGCAGGAATTTGAATTGAAGTACAGAGATAACCAACGATGGGACATAGCAACATTGCTCATAATTTGCCGTAATAACTTCTTCACGTTAGCGTCGAAACGCTGGCGAACATGTGACTAGTCAGGTGTTCATGTATTCAGGAGATCGGCACCAGAGGGGAACTTCGTTAAGTACATAGATGTGTTTAATTTCTAAAGGTAAGTTGTGTCTTCTTTGTTCGGTCCTTGCATGATAATTACGTTGACGCATGACGGTCACTGTAACAGACATAGACATGTGTTATCAAGAAAATCAGTTTTAAACAGGATAAGCAATCCAGTCACCGCTGAATCACCATTTCGATTCAGTAAACAAGAGGGGAAAACGGTTTCGAAAAAAAAATCCTTTTTATATCGTTCCGGAAATACCATCCTTCCGATTTTTCTGTATGTGTATTTTCTAGGAATAATTTCGACAGAAGTTTTTCAAGGAATTCAACCATCATTCACAAACAGGAATTAAAGGACCACAGTATATTTAAACTAGAATGATATAAAATTAATGGAAGCATTTTAATTTTATATCGATTTTATTTATTAATATCCGCCAGGAAAATCTCCCACATGCTTTTACTAAAAGGTAAAATAGGGGCGCCATGTTGGTCTCTCGACGTCTGCTGTGCTATAATTTCCAAAATGATGAAAAATGAAGCGAGCCGCGGGTGTCCCCGTAGCTAAATTAACTATTAATATGTCAGCACCGCTTGAAACGGGATAAATTCTGACTTGACGCTCACAACATGTGGTAGGTGGCGAAACGCACCGACCGTTGTCCGCCCTAACCAGTCGGTGGTGGATGTCAGGCACGACCCGTGTTTCATCGCAGTCTCATTAATTAATTACATGTAGATTGTGTGAGGGTCTGTATTCATGTTTTTCGCTTGGGCTGGATTGATGGACTTAGAGGCGATGCACGTCGCAAAATTGTCAGGCAGGCATTTCAAAGTCCCACTCTAAAGATAGACAAGTCTTTGGGCAAAATATCTCATCGTTGCACGATGAAAGAGCAGTTTGCTGCAGCGAAGAAAACGGAAGAGATTTTTACAACTGTTTCACACCGGTGCAACTTCAGTGCACCGTAAACACTGGACAGGGAAAATGTGAAAAGTCTCGAGTAACAAAATAACTTTCTTTCTATTGGCGGGAAAATGTGTCTCTTCCTATTAAATGCCTTTTAATCAACTTAGCCGAACCTCGATTAAAAGCTTGGAGATGGTTGCTGGCGGCGTACTGGCTGTTTTCTGTTAAGCGCCACATTAGTTTGGCTCTTCAAATAGTAAAAATTAGTGTTCCAGTAGTGTTTGGTCGCCACAGAATTGGGTTGCCAGAGCTAGTATGTGCCTCGAGCTAGACCATGAAAGGGCGCCATTTTCTTAGCAACAGCGGGTCCTTTGGTGAGGGGCTGCTTCTGCTCGAGGCGAATATAATAGACCCATTGCATACGTTAATAAAGTCACGTGACATAGTCTACAAGTGGGTATCAAACGTCAGCAAAATAGCGTCCTCCTATAGCGAAGTGTTTCATAAGTGTCATTTACCAGAAATAAAGCCAACGGTTGGTAAAGTATACTCAGACTACTGATGTGCTGAGCACACTGTGCCGAAAATCGGCATTTTTTGGTAAGTAACAGTTATGACACACTTTGCTATGGGAGGACGCCATGTTTGTTTATGTTTGATACCCACTGTAGGCCAATGCCTTACCTGGGGCACTTGGTCTACACTGCTCCGTCTGTTGTCACCATTGTAGGGCCTACCCACAGATCTGTACCTGCAAGCCGGCGCAGATCTAGACCGAGCCATAGCTACAAACACGAGGGGAGGTCTGGCGAGCATTGGTACCTTTTCATGACATTTAAATTAATTGTGCTGCTGCCAGAAAGTTCAATCAGTTGGAAAGTGCTACTTTAACAACTGCCTGCTGACAATTTTTGCAGGCATCGGGGAGATTGACACTTTGACCACCGACATTTTTCTGATAGGTAATTTTGGATGTATTTTTTTTTAATTGCAGGTCAAACTCTGGCTAACTTTTACCGAATCCACGGACAAGCTTATGAACTGTTTTGAGAAGCACACCACGCATGGAGTGTCCATCGACTAGAAAAGAGGTCATGGATTTTCCACCGAGAGGTCAAATACCCAGGGGTGCGGGGAAATCTGAATCAATAGCCACAAGAGAGAATGGTTTCAACAATCAGTGGATAGCTAGGCCAGTGGCGCTCAAAAGCAAGGGCCACTCTGACCCACGGTCAACAGACTCGGAAGAAAGTGAGCTGCAAGGAGAGTCGTGGTCAGTTGTTGAGCGTCGTCTGTCGAAGAAACTTCGAGCCAGCTGGCGACCTGAACTTGCCGATTCCCCAGCTTCTCATTCGGGGAAGCTGTTGTCAAATTGGGAATCGCACGAAACCAGGACGACTAACCCCGGATGCTCATCCACACAACAACCAACTGGTCTTGGATTTCTGTCCAGCAAAATGCAGACGAATACTTCCTGCTTACGTCCAAGTGGTCCACAAGTGTCGCACGGAGGAGTTGGTTACAGTGATCTGCTTGGAGCTCCCTCTCTTAGACAAACCTGCCCAACTCAGGCGCATGCGTCCGGGAAACGCAGTGCATTTCGAGAAGTGAAAAAACATCAACAGATAGGTTGCCATGAACAACAGCCATGCGCAGACACAGCGAGGCTGAGATCGCGTAGGAGAGAGCAGCAGAAGGAGCGGCCTATAAATGCATCATCGGAACACCTCTCTGAATCTACATTTCAGGGACCGTCTCCGCTGACTCAAACATTTTATGGCTCTGCTCAAACCTTACTAGCAACGCATTCCAACAACCTGCACGCAAATCATCTTGGACGTAGGACGGAACGTGAAGAGGAATTCGTGGCGCCTTCATTTATTCCTTTGAAACGTCGCCCACCACCGGATTTCCTTAATCACACGCAAGGGTGTGACGCGTTGAAAACTGTGAAAAACACGAACCCCTACAAGAACGCCTTTTCGGTGCAGTTCGGTCCATTTCAAAATGGCGCAAATGCTGAGGGATTTTCTCGAGTGCCGTTTGCGTGGCAGCAGCCACTGGTGCCCACTAGTGTCTTACCGCTGTCTTCCAGCGTGCACAGCCGGCAGTACGACAATTGGTGCGCCAAGTGCAGCGCCAGCTTCCGGATGACCAGTGATTTGGTGTACCACATGAGGACGCAGCATAAACGGTCTTCTGATGGGAATGGCGGCGGTTCGAACTCCGCATCCACTTCGACGGTGGCGGGCGACAGAAACGAAGGGAAGCGAGTGGAGGAGAAACTGAAGTGTAATCTTTGCGGGGAGTCCTTCAGAGAGCGCCACCACTTGACGAGACACATGACATCTCACAATGCAGAACGTGAATGAACTTGAGGAGGGGGCCAACGATCTTTGATCAACTATTGACAGTTCGAATTTTATGAACCCTGTCCTACTTAACTCGACAATCTGTCAACGTTTAATGCCGTACTTACTTACAATGTCTGGTAGTACGCTATAGCTAGCTGCTGCAGATGAGTATAGGCCTACAGCTTTGTCGACTCTGCAAGTTGTTCCGTGGTACGGAATACTGGTCCCTTATGCGAAGACTCGCGTACGGCATCAGTGAAGATCGTCTTCAATTTTTCTTGTCAAATAAATAAAAGATACTGTGTTTTACCTACACGTACGAGATATTATCAGGTATATGCTACTAATTATGATGTAATATTATGCAAAAACTAGTTGTACGTACACCTTAGCTAACGGCACCACTTTTCAGTGCGTAGGCCCACGTGATATGTTGTATGTACCTATGCCATACAAGATGTGTATAGGCCTATACAAAAACTTCCATGTTCCTACAAGATAATCGTAGTGTATTTGTTCATGAAAAAATAAAGAAAATGGCCTGTCTGCCTCGAGCAGAAGCTCCCTCTCATCGGTTGGAAAGCGGAGCCATGTTGGTCGAGAGTGTTCATTTTGTTGGTAATGCATCATATCCTTGTCGTTCGTGAACAGCGAAATTCAGTTCCTACCAAAGGAGCCTCCGTTGCTGAGAAAATTGCGCCCTCTCTAGGTCCAGCTTGAGGCTCATAAGAGTGTACAGGATGAACAATTTACGGTGTCTCAAAATATTTTGTTTCATCTACGAACTTGCAGTTTTCTCAATGTAAACTATATACCCAGATTTGTGTACACAGGTTACTTATGCCTGTCTACAGCTACTATTCGATGTCGTCGACCACAAAACCTACAACCAGTATCGACCCTGACTCGGCCTGGGCCTGCGTTTAACGTGTTTAACGAATAAAGAAGAATGAGCCCACGAAAAGAACTGGGTCTCGAAAATGCAATCAAAACAAAGTATGAAGTATGCCAACGTGGCCTTACCGTTGTGAGAGTGGTCCACGCGTTGTGTCGTTGTAGCGCCCTCTGTTTGTGTTTGCTGGGTAAAAGCGCTCGTCCCCATCGCTGAGGGCGCCGGGAAGGGCAAATGACCAAAGAGTAACTGTTTAGAGATCAGTGGGGCGTATGCACAACGTGATGTTTTATTCGAGTATTTATTGGACAAAGTTTATTTGAACAATGATATGGGTCAAAACTTCCGTGAGTGTATGATACGCGCGCACATACAGAGGGTATATCTTTCATGCGTTGATTTTGCACGAGACATCAATTACACTGGAACGTTCATTGCTGTCTTATGGAAATTATTTAATTTTGCAAAACTTCCAATTGTCTCCCGCCGGCTTCGTAAGCTAACGCGTTACTTTTTGCCAAGTTTGCAGCTGTTCAAAAATCAAAATCTCATGAGTTTTTTCAAGGGTTGCTGTAAAACCCTGACGATTAGGTGGTGTGTGATCCGGTTCCGAGAATAGTGTTCTTGAGTCGAGCTCCCACCGTTCGAGCGCGAGAACAACAAACCCGTGTCAAGAACAGGCCGTCCGAACACGACCTAGGGGTACATGAAATTGCGCCAGCTCCTGAAATGTCAACACCCTTGAGCAAGTTCGGCTGCGCAGTGTGGTCGTGCTTGTGGCCATGGCCTGGGTTGTATTTTGCTCGCCACGGTGAACAGCCACAGTCGTAGAGAACAATACCCATTTTGAATCGGCCCATAATTCACCATCAGCCATTCGTTGGGTGTGTTCGATTAGCTTACACGTGTAAATCAAACTTGCACAGAGCGTTCGTTCAGCCGTCACGTGATCTTCGTGCGTGCCCTGGTGTCAGCCACCACTACCCCGGCTGGCGAGCAGATCTGTGGAGGCTGTCCGAGTGTAATGACGTCACGGATGGACTGTTCGAGCATTGGCATGATGGAAGTGGCGGGGACTTGACCTTTTTCCCAGAATGCATTGGCAAATAAACTGCAGCAAATGATGAGCATCATTTCGAGGCTTCCCTTGCGTGTAACACTGGTGTATTCAGGGAAGCTAATCGAACGCATGTCTATTTATCGATCACACATTCACAGTTAAGCCCCCCCCCGCGGCATCACTATGCATGGCAAAACAATAATTGAAAAAATATCAAGAGTCATTAACCCAACCTCGTCCTTAATGCATTCGAGTAATCTGCTGCACTATCGTTTTGCTCTGTCACTCTGCAAATGGAACATTATTTCACATTTCCAAAATCGCCTTGAACATTGTAATTAGGCGCACTGTGCACCTTGATTTTATATTGGAGGGGGCGGGACGCACCCCCGCTGTGAAATGCTGACTTGATGTCACTACAAAGGCTCCACTGATGCCTCAATCCAGGGGGACGGAAGGGGTTTGCGCATGATGTGCGCACAGCGGTATGTAAGCCTATTCCATTCACTAGAAGGGGGTGCTCATAAGGAACTATTTCATTTAAAGTTAAAATCTCCTGCGTTTCCACTATCTACAAGGATTATTGAAGAACTTGTTCTATTTTCAATATGCACACCAGCCCTTGTTTCACGGAGATCCTAGAAAAGGATTCCCATTTCAGCTTCTCGATCTAGCTATGGATCGTGGATGCGAAACGTTTATAATGCACACGCTGCGCTGTTGTCTCCTCACATTAACACCCCTAAATTTCATGCATAACAACGATTTAACTTGTAAAACTCCCACCTGCAACATTGATTTTTTTCTGAAATGTATGTTTAAAGACCTCACCTTCCGACTGTAGTCGTTTAAAGGAAATCCTTCCCCTTCAACATGACCCTTTCTCCACAACGTTATAAAAAACGAGTGATGCGTCCCATTCAAATTTTGTCCATTGCTTCTGGGTATGCATGGAGTCAAAAATTCTTCACGTTCGGTTAAAAATTACAGCGCGTGGAGGTGAGATGCAGCACGTACAACCAACCGTCGCACACAAACGCGTATGCGGGCAACGCGTTGGCAACTTGGCAAAATGGAATTGCAGGTAAATAAAATATCTCTCCCGAAGACAATTTTCATCTCGAAGATTAACTTTTCTGATACAAGTGAAAGTCCCATAAAAGAAATATATCATACGGGTCTAAACACTCCGAGTCACAATTGAAATTAATAAATTATCAATAAAACTTATTGCCGGCTGTTCGTGGATCGTGGTCCATCTTCACGCACCCAAGAAACAAATAATGTGCACGCCGTCGCTGCAAAATACTGAATGAGAAGAGTTTGAACGTAGGGGGCGCTTGTCGCACAACACCCTTCCGCCCCCCCCGCCTCAATCCTTTGTCAGCCCAACCTCCCCCTTTTGATCAACACTCATGACTGCATGTGCAAAATGTAATCTTGGGTATCCGCTCGTAGCAGGAACAAAAAGAGGGCCCTTATATAAAGGTGTTTGCCCTATAAACTCTGTATGCTTAGTGCTTGTCCGAGAGCTTGCGAAACACAAGCTTACTCGGGTGGGACTCGAACCCACGACCTCCTGCTTACTAGTGCAGACGTCTTAACCACTCGGGGTCGAAAATTGAATTTTCAAGTTATTGCAAATTTGATATCATTTGTCCGTAGCGGACCAACTGGAGAACAATTCAAATTTCAAGTTTAAAATACCTTTTTTTACGTTCAGAAATGTAACGTACACATATATCTTTCACCCCATTTTCTCCCAAATGTCACTTTTGATTAACAAGAAACACATCTTAAAATACAATTTGCAGCCTGAATATATTTTTCTGGTATGATATTCAGCAAACGTTTACGCAGAGCGGAAGATCTCCGCAGATAGATTTTGCTTCAGTCATTTGCTGGCTGGGGTCGCCATTTTAACAAGCAACATAAAGTGACCTCCACTTTGCCGAATTTTAGCGCATGCGCACAAACTAAGTGGAAGGGTTGCGTACAATGGGTGCGTTCGATTAGCTTACACGTGTAAGTCAAACTTACACGAGAGCGTTCGTTTAGCCATCACGTGATGTTCGTGCCTGCCCTGATGTCAGCCACCACTACCCCAGCTGACGAGCGGGTCTCTTGAGGCTGCCCGAGTGTAATGACGTCACGGATGGACTGTTCGAGCATGGACGTACATGATGGAACGAGGCGGGGACTTGACCTTTTTCCCAGAATGCCTTGGAAAACACACTGCAGCGTTCGATAAGCCTCATTTTGAGGCTTTCCTTGAGTGTAACACTGGTGTGTTCAGGGAAGCTAATCGAATGCACCCATTGTACGTGGTGGACAGACTAATCCGACTGGACGCCATAACTGCGGTGGCAAAGCGGCACTCACACGCACATTCTTCAGCTTGACGCGCGCGTGCTTTTTCCAAATCGCGGCACCTTATTGGTGGAAAAGCCATGTAAGGCGCGCACACCGCCTGTCTACGAATCTGAGTGAGTGCACCCTCACCGGCGAATTCCAACTGGGTTCTTGCACGCATTCGGCGTGTACGCGAAGACCACACATTCCAGACTAAGGCCTTCCAGAGTCACGGCTAGGTCTATTGTCTACGCGTCTCCGCACATTTCCAATGGAGGGGAGACCTAGACCTAGCTCTTGACAACAGATTCGGATGCAGCCCAAATTCGTCAAACTTGCACTGCTTATTGAAGAAGGTCGAAATTAATGGTGGAAGTGTTTTTTAAATGGTCACGGTTCTGCCGCCTCGAGCAAAAGCTCCCCCCCCCATCGGTTGAAAGGAGCCATGTTGGTTGGGAGTGTTCATTGGGCGAGATCGGGCGGCCTGCTCTTGACATGAGTTTCTTGTTCACGCCTCCTCGTCAGGGTTGTTGTACAGGAACGCACGGAAAAACTCGTGAGATGGCCTTTAAAACTAGAGAAAAGTGAAAGTTTTAAAAACTAATTATTTTTCCATAAGACAGACTATGGTGGGTTAAATTAAATGGAAAATAATTTGACCAGTTAGCCAAACATTAACTCTCGAAGAACATACAAGGACGCCGCCATGTTGCATTTTGCTTGCCACTAACTACCGATAACCGGTTGTACGTTGCTGGTGTTCGAGCGGCCCAGCCACGATCAACAAATCGAGCTGTTCGTGAACATGCGAGAACAAGCCGCCCGAACTCAGCGATGCGACCAAAACGCGTGTAATTTTGTATAGTCATTCATGAACCAGCAAAATTCACTTCCAACCAAAGGAACCTCCGTTGCTAAGAAACTTGCGCCCTCTCTTGAGTCAAGCTCGAGGCTCATAATGAGAGGCCTTTATGATGTTCAGTGATCATGTGACTTGGATTCGCTCATTCCTTTTTGGCCTAATGAGCGCATGATTAACACGTAATACACGCTCAAAGTTGAAACCACTGTGAGGGCACGACACAATGTCATCAATCAAGTTGCAAACCCCCCCCCCCCAAAAAAAAAACCCAAAAAACCACGGGAAACCACTTCAGTATGTCCTCCGAGGATAATTTGAGCATTCGTTCATAACGAGGCTGAAACTCGACCCACAGAACTGGGTCGACCGTCTTATAAATTAATTCTACTGTCATTTGGGAGTCGGCCTATGAACACTATCACCACGCTGAATCAGGACCGAGGCAGCGCTTGCATACTCAAGACTTTAACTAAACTTTAATCTATTTGAGGCGACCTAACCTGGCCAGTGAAGTCTTAAAAACAAACGAAACAAAACAAGCATGCGTGGTTCTTTATGAAATTAATCGTAGGGCTTTTCCTTCATTCCATTATCAATTATAAGGGAAGGTGCAATCTACAGAACATAACAGTCAGCCAGAAGGCCCCCCCACACGATATTAGAGATTGAACCAAACCTATAATTCTTGCTCAATTAAACTAGTTCCCTCTAATGAGTGCTAAAGTTTAAATCAACTCGTAAATTCTTCAACACCATTGTGCCAAATCCCGCCACCTTGTAATTGCAGGCATAATTGTGGTTGAGAAGTCGAGTTAATTGTCACCCTGACATCGCCGGATCTTTTTTTCTAGGTCGCTGTTGGTCGGAAGTTGGAGGAATAGTCCCTCCGGCCTTGCCGAGCGGGCGAGCCGCAGACCCTGCCGCCACCTTGTCATCACATCATCGACAACTATTTATCCATTTTAAAGCAAAAGGTGAGCCCCAACACCCCAATAAAGCGACATGTTCAGACCCGAAACCGCAAGCATTCTCAGAGCAAATAAATTACACAAGGGATTTCGACGATAGCATAATGTTTATGCGATTAAAAATAGTCAGCGGTGATGGAGAAACCGCAGGCAAACTTTCATCATCCGCAATCGAAACGGTCCAACCGGAACTGCATGTATGAGTTTCCCCAACGCAAAAGGCAAACAGGAAGCGCTTTCTTTGTTGTAGTCACTCAAGAAGAAGAATATTGAAACTGTTAACACATTCTGTGGGGCTGGGGTTTGTACTAGTAATTACAGCTAAATTCACACAGCGACATTATGTATTTGTTAATTTAACCTCTTTGCATTACAGTGATAGGTCCTTGCAGTGATCTTGCTGGGAGATTCCTGGACTTTTGTGTCTCTGTTTCTCTCTATATAATTTGTCCTAACTCTGAGCAATTCTGTTGCTGCCAATTGCCGGAAAACAACGAAACACGTGTCTATCTACATGCACAGAAAATTTCGAACAGCAGTACTGTGAGAGGCTGAGGAATGTTTTTAATGGGAACCTTGAATCCTTTCGAAGGTTTAATAAAAATTTAATACAAAAATTGAGCCAACCTTGATTTGTCACGAGTCACGACAATCAAACGGCTTCAAGCTGCTTGTTATTATAGAGCACGAATTTGGGTCAAAACGACACCTTTACGAGGCTCCCCAACATCGTAAATTTCTCACTTTGCTTCACTCCGCAGGAAGGAAATCAGAACATGCCCAGAAACAATACTCACCAGTGTGTGATGCCCAAATTATGCGGTCATGATTGATCACGTTGGCGACAGGCATTTCCCAAACCAGTCATTACGTCGCTGAAAATAAACCCAATAAGTTCTGTTTGGCCTCGGTATTCCAAAACAGTGACCATGCCCTTAAACAAACAAGCTTGACCGAAAAAAGGACGAGGAGAACTAACAGGGCCGTTGGCCCAGGCCCTTTCGAATTAATCAATGGCTCAAGCATCACTTACAGGTAGACAATAGTCACACCAACTGACAGACCGACAGGAAATCACAAAAGGTTTTTTTTTTCAAGTTTCGTGGCCTCCTTACCATTTACTGAAAAAATGAGATATAATATACAAGCCTTGAATTCAAAATAAATTACAAAGTTACATAATTACGAAGATGATAATGACATTCATGACTTAAATTGCTATAAATACATGTACTGAAAGATAATATGATATATAAAATGACAAAAAGGGACTTGAAACGACAGACATCGAGTTTTAAATAGTCTCGCCTTCGAGGCGTTCTTTCATACTACGAAGCAGAACGAATACTACTGCGTACGTGCTTTTCATTAGAAAAATCTTAGTGTACATAAAATATAAATATATTGCAATAAAATCATAGCTAAAAACTTTCCACAACATCCTTGGGGCGATTTCAGTTTTCTTACGATAGAGCGTTACAGTACTAGCACATTAGGTAATGAACTCTGTTGAACGAGTGCACTGGAAATGAACGCAGACTCGCGGTACAAAATGCTGTCAAAGTTACAACAATGAAACCACGTTTTCTTGATATCAGCTTGTTAAACATGTTTAAACATTGAACTTGTTTAAAACATCGATGGATGCTATTGTACATCGGCGTTTAGGAAAACTGGACATGTGATGTTTACTTTCTAAACTGGTAGCAAATTGTGTTCAATTAACTGAGTACAGCTTGAGAGTGATTACTTTTTGGAAACACAAAATGGTGATCGATTTATTGACAAAACAAAGATCGATTTGTGGGCGGTGGGTGTGGATCAGTTTAGGATGACGTAATATTGAGTAAATTCTAATTCAATTTGCACTTATCGATAAACTTCAGATGTCTAATACAATTTTTTTCAATTCTATAAATTTCTCCATTGAACAAACTTTTGGTTTGTGTCCTTTCTCTGTCATCCCAAGATAACTGAGGCCGTGTCAGAAACCGGCTTCCAGAGCTACGGCTAGGTCTATCGTCTACGCGTCTCCACGCATTTCCAATGGAGCGAAGACCTAGACCCAGCTCTAGACAAGAGATTCGGATGCGGCCTTAAGAGCAAAAACGAAACGAAGTCACGACTGCAGACATGCAAAAACGCCGATGGTTAAAGGCGGCAAAATCTTTCAACGGGCTAGCCCAACCACAAAACTGAAATCACGACGGGGGAGAAAACACCGGGGCGAGACAGCGTCCCAACTAGACTGCCACGTAGATGTACATGCATTTGCATCAAGCGATGACAGACTGCACCTCGTATTGAGCAAAACTAACAGGACCAGGGAATCCACTGCGGGTCTGTCAGAGGAGACTCCTCGAAGAAGCGGTGCGAAGCCGGCCCGCTCCCCGTCGGTTTAAGGTCAGGAGCGGCGGTCTGACGAGACCCAATATTGCCACCTCGGGCCGCTCCTTCAAGACCCGTATCACGATTACGGGGAGGGTCAGGTGGGACACAGAGGAATTGTTTGGGTAACCCGGACCGGCTGCAGACGTATCGCCACAAAAAATGATGTTAATTACCAATAGCGGTTGACTTGAACACACAACAAACAATTTGGATCTCTGTTCTGGACGGTGTTAGCCTACGATCACTCGTGCGAGGTTGGCGGTGCGCCCAGACAGTGTGGGTGGATAAGAAATAAGTTTAACTTTCTGCACCTGTGGTGATTAATATGCCAATTAATATGCGGGGAAACGCGCCTAATGGCTCAGTAAAAACCATCATCTCATGACGGGTAACATTCACCCAGTTTTCGGAATGATTAATGAGACCAAAGTGTGATCTGGGCCGAGCCGGATTGCTAACATGTGTGCCCAAGCATCGGAACGGAGGTAATGATTAGCCGCACAAATACTTTACACAGCGTGAAAGAACGGTTCACTTCGTACAACTTTCGGAAGTATGCTCTTGACAGCCGGGTGAAGAAAAAAATGGTGAAGTGATCAGAAACGAATCAGAGTGGTCGGGTACGAATGATTTGTTGTGTAAAAATGCGCTTTCTGAACTTTCCCTCAGGTACAATCAAGTCATCGGCACTTAGAGAGCGATACACTCTTGTGCAGAATGTTCAGAAGGTCCCACTGAGGGCCAGGCGCTACACAGACAGCTCTCTTGCATGGTTTTGTTCAATTATCTCACCAATGACCTTCAGTTTCTGACTGAAATGCACTTCTATCGTCCCGACAGAAACATAAAAGTCACCCAGTGTTCCCCGCGGCTTAATCAGATCATGACATACTTTTGAAACGTTGTGGCCCAGCCGGCCATCCCGGCCTCCTGCGGGCCCGTACCGTCGGCAACAACGCACCTCTTGTTACCGGCTGACGTCACCCTCAGATGGCTGGGATCTGGGAGCGACGTCTGTCCCTTCCAAAGTGAATTCACTGGCATCCAGCAGCCGACTGTGGCTTGATGACGAAGACGACGGCCCCGGCTGCGTGACGATCACGTCAGGCGCGAGGGTGCTCTCACCCCCTCCAGAAGAGCAACGGCAGCCTAGTCCAGAGTCCTTCTGAGCGGGTGCCGCGATTGGTCGATCGTGCGTCGGCGAGCCGCGTTCCAACGACCTGCTCCTCTCCTCGCCGTCCGACCTCCGACTCCACTCTGCCCCCTTCTCCCTCAACTTGTCCTCCGCCCCCTCGAGTAGGTGGAAGTCGTCGAAGCCGCACTTCCGGGTGAACTCGTTGTCGAAGGTGCCGTCGCGATTGAAGAGCGTATAGACACGCCTCCACCTGTCCAGGTGGGGGTAAAGTCTCTCCACCCGGTTGTAACTTAGGAAGTTGTTCTTACTCCAGTGGGGCCTCGCCCGATACTTCGTGAACAAGAAATCTTCCAGTTTCTTGTGAAACTCGTCAATGCCGTAGGCGCCCGGCAAGAACGGTACCTGCATACACACACACACACAATACAAAAATCAGAAATCATAAGATTGCCATTAATTTCAGGCCGGGCGATGCATATGCCGTCTCGGCAACCCTTGTCTGAATTCTGCGACAGAGGGCGCTCTCTGAAGGCGCGCTCCAATATCAAAGGTTGCACTGTTCTGCATTAATCTAAGCCGTCGTAATTTATTGTTTCACACCTGCAAATATATTGCTTTCATTTTATAGCCTTCTTTTTTCAACTTCGAAGTTTCGCAAGGCCGGGTTAAAAGTATTGCCACCTCGATTTGGTTGAAATTATTGCTTGAGCGTGTGAAGAATCGACGTGAGCGTAGTCACTGGGGAACTTTTCTGGGACGCAACACTAAGGAAAAAGCGCTCCGTGGCAGCCTAGCGAAGGGATTTTTTTATTTATTTATTTATTTTTTGCCCCCCAAAAAAGTGTATCTGTACGACCAGCGGGCCATCGCACGCAAGAAATTCAACGATGGCTTTTTTGTCCTTTTCTCGGTGTTGGATGATACCACCATCACGGGGTCAAGATGTCAGGCGCGGGGTCGTGGCCACCACGGAGCGAGATGTCGCCGCGAGCCGCGCCCCGTGCGCCCCGGCTGGCGAACGTGCCCAACGCTGCTTTTTCGGTTCCCCTCCACCGCACCAAAACCGGCCGCGCGGGGTCCCCCGCCGTAATTGGTGGAAACAAACTCCGGCCAGTTGGGGACGGAAGCAAGCGCGCGGAGGGCCCGCCGGCGAGACAGGGGCGGGCAGAAACCGTGTCATTCTCGAGTATTTCTCAGTCTGAGAGCGGTGAGATGCCGTGTTCATTATTATCAGACGGCCGTGGTGTTGTCCCAGTAGCGGCCGGTGATGTGAAGTGTATTATTTGTCCACCGTAGTGCAATGCACTTGCGCCTGTTTGGTTTAACCAAGCCCGCTGCAGGTGCACCATTGACCCCGTTCTTACTGTGTCACCCACTCCAACATGGGTCAGATTTGCACTGCCAGCCAGTAATGCCAGCATTACACATCAACGCAGTGCAGCCAAGTCACTGACCATTATCGCTAGTTTTACGTACACAGTAATTATGGGTTTTTCATATTTTGTATGTAATTTAACATCATCAACAAATTCTCACAAAACGTAAGTTGGGAACGGCATGAAATATTACGTCAAACGCCGGCTGCACTGTAAACCCATGTGGCCAACAACCCTGAGGCAAATCTGAAGTTTCACCTTGACCGGTAAATAGTCAAGTAGGAAAATTACCTGCGTAGGCCTAAACACAATCAGTTTTGTTTTGTTATTACATTTACAGCTTAACTGGTACCCGGTAAAAACTTTGCTTGACATTTCCTTTGTGACCTCTTCAAACAATCTCAATTTTCTCTGGAAGCAAATGTACCAAACCTCAAACTCTTTGCACACAGGTGTATTTAAGGTTAGAGACCAACTTCTTCTGATTGAATTGTTGGTACTTCTGATGCCACACACTCAGTTCCACTACAATGGTTTAACATGGAAATGGTGCACTAGAAGAGACCAAACTTTCGTCCCTTGTTGCATGGTTGGTGGGTCCTTTGTGCAATATCTTGTCATGTCTGTGCTGACAGCTGATAACAAAACATGCGACAAGTGGCACTTGTAGAAAATCCACAAAGTCCCACAGTCCATCTGACTGCTTTTTTCAACGTCCTTAAAACACGGGAACAGAACTCGGCAAAAATAACAATTATTCCCATTTTTCCGTCTGACATTCCACAGTCACTTATTGTCAAATTAGGCGACAACTCCAAAGTTAACTCGTGCTGACAGATCCCATCAGCGGGCGCATTAAGCCTTAAACGAACCCCGAGCTGAATCGACGCCTCTCCGTTTAGCCCAGCCGAACCCTTCACCCTACAGCCCTCCGCACACCAAATTGAATCACTGGAGAGAACTGGAGGGGAAAACACTGCGACAATAACACGGGCATCTCTTAGCCAGCTGATCAATCCGAGCGCCTAATTGAGCCAAATCGCCCCCAACCGGGTGTCTTCCTTAATTTTCCACGTCTTCATTTGCAGGGCCGCGATACACCCAGACTTTGGCCCAGCACCACAACTCTGGTTTCGTCAAGAAAAAAAAAACAATTCTGCCTGAATTCTCTGGGGACCGTAAGAACAATGCCGGGCAGGCACGCCGGGACTTGTAAAAGTGCAAACAGCAAAAACTCTTAAATTTTGATGTCCTAGAAGTGTCAGACGAGAAGTGGAAAAAAATACACATGCGTACGATTCCGAGGAAGAATTATGACGTCTCTAAACTACAGTGTTGACTCTGTTGTGCTAAGCCGTACATGCCGAAAATCCCCATGAAAACTCTTGGTTTTGAAAGATTTACGAAGTACATATTTGAGGGTGTGTCATTTTTCACAGTGGAGTTTCTGTTTTCAAGTTCAAACCTGAACAATGCAACACAACGGTGAAGTAAGGATTAATAGGCTGCTACACGTTTCTTATTCTCAGTAATTACGACGTATGCATCCGCCTGACCGCATCCCTGGCCATACACATAATTGCCCAAACCTGATGCGACAGAACATGGTGACTTGGTGTGTTGTGCCGTCAAAATTTTATTGATTACTATTCAACAATTTTCTGGCGCATACCACTTCGAAACTGGCGGGAATTTAGTTTCTGCGAAGTGCGTGAACATGTATTTTCAGCGAGGCAGGCACCGTCGACCACACCCTTGAGAAAGAAAGAAACTGTGTTATCTGCCCCATGTAGACAGGTGGAAGAAATCCTGTTCATTTGGCACCCATTATTTTGTAATTAATTACCTCGATGTAGCAATATCTATCACAGAGGCCGCCGTCCGCAGTGTGCCGATTGGCGGGGCTCATGTACAGGTCGTCCGCTTTGACCATTCGGACGTAGATGGGCAGCAGCGTGTAGGTCTGGTAGAGTTTGCCGTAGTCCTGCAGCACCTTGATGATGTCAGCCAGGGCCGCGTCCAGGTCTTCCAAGGGAATGCAATACTCCGCCGTCTTAATGCTGTAAACGAAGCATAAAGAGTTCGGGTCTAGCATACTTCAAGACTTCCTTGCACGAACTTTGCTCAACTTACACTTAATTTCTTCTTGGTTTTACAGTCAAACATTCTTTTAAAAAATGGTTCGAGAAATCACTCAGACCACAAACCTAAGTCTAACATTATCTCAAATCTACCATCAAGTTCAACATTTGCGTAACTAATGACAGACACTTTCTTGTTGTAATGAAAGTAATATTTTTTGAAATGCCGGTCCAACAAAATTTGCTGTGAGGTGAGGTTGCTTGGGGAACCGATAAATCCCGTATTTTTCATCAGGCTTGCAAGGCCTCCTTGGTGTTGCATTGTGTCAGGTTGAGAAGGGTGCAAGGCAGCTCACGGCTTTTCATTTCTTACATGTTCCCAACTTACTGTAAGTTCCCATTGGTGAAGGTGAGTACGTTGTACCACTTCTGGATGTAGGGAGCGTCTCGAGCGAACTGGTGTAGGCCACAGTCGGCGAACCACGGGATGAAAGACGGCAGACAATGCGCTCCAAGCTGCAGGCACGAGGCTGAACAATCTGTCTGCAAGGAAAAACAAATAAAATTAATTTTTCTTCTCTCATTTCCCGTGCTCCGCCCTATACTTCTAGGTGTCATCTCAGTGCATATTTTATCGAAAGACAGATTCAACTAATCCATGGCATTCGACTTACCTGAACGATCTGGCACGCACTCTGTCCTCTACACCCTGTGCAGGCGCAGCATTGAAAGTTCAGGCAGCAGTCGCATTGACAGCTCCCCGTCGCATCCGTCCTCTCTCCCGACAAGTAGACACTCTTCAACACGGTCCTCTGCGGGTCCCCGCGACTCCGTCGCGGGAACGGGTTGACGAAGAACGAGAAGTACTTCCCCTGGCCGGCGGACATGCTCTTCATCGTCTCTGGTATCCTGAAAACCGATTTCTGGTCTTGACAGGTACCGGAGGTCGTCGGTATCGATTCTCCGGATGCTGAGTCCGTGTCGCTGGACGGCAGCTCGGCTGACAAACTGCTCCTGCTACAAGCTCTGCTTGGAGCCTGGGTGACCGGCCTGGACTCGGCAGTCGACTCCGGCCACTCCATCTCGACATAGTGTCTCGTCTCGCGGATGTTGTACACTGGGACGCAGGTCAGAGTGACGGAGTAGATGACCCCAAGCGAGCCGAAGCCCACAGCGGCGGCACGGAACACGTCGGTGCTGTGGATGTCCAGCACAGGGTCGCCGTACTTGGCCGCTTCCACCCGCTGTCGTACCGTCTCGAAATCTTCGTCTGTTTCCCCTTCTCTCGGTATCCTGATTCGCACCTCGATACCCCCACAAATTATCATGTGAAGCTCAGCTACAAAGTTGGACTAGGGTAAAGAAGGGGAAGAAAAAAGATTACTCGAACGTTAAGAAAACACAGAGGCTGAAAAGGATGCCGCTCGCGACCCATAAAACTATTTCACAAGTCACTCACTACGTGTCAGAATGTTGCTATGAACACATAAAACACAAGGGCATATGTAGAAACGATCGCCGACCAGTCTACAAAAGACCCAACTGGTAAGAGGAAAAAACAACACCCCAAACCAAGCTCTGAATCAATCATGCTGAGACATTGTTGCCCCTTGAAGATGTCAGAGTTGAAGAAAATGCTGTCTCTCTGGAGAAATCTCAAGATACCTTCCTATAGAAATTAATCCATACCAGGCCTCGAAGAATCGCGGACCGGTTCAATCGAACCACGACGAGGCACGTATAGGCAGACCTACCGGCAAGGAAAACAAGGCCACACTGTGTCAAGTCCTTCGTGATTTGAAGAACACCCTCATTACACTCGAGGAGAAACCTTGGCGGACTTGCTCACCAAGTGCGCGGGATTCATCCGAAACACCTTTTTTTCCCACTGTCTAACCTTGAGTTGGGGGCCCACGAGATTAGACGCTATACAGCAATGTCACATAGCTCGGGGCAATGCGTGAGTACGAGTACATTCGGAATACGTGATGATATCTTGAATTGGTTAACATCCGTGTTAGAACTTCAGGTTCCATCGAAGCCTTTTACACCAAAAAGGGAAAAGCGCAGGGTGCAACTTCAAATTTGAAGTGTGAAAACACAGTTTGAAACAAAAGGAATGGAACGATCAGGAACTTTGACGCATTCTACGTTAGCCTCATCTCCTTGCTGCGCACAATAAAGCACTTAGTCGCAAGTGACATGCAGCCATGAAATTCTGGCTTGTAAACTTGTCTCATTAATTGTTTGACTTGCAGGGCTCCAGGAAACAGTCCACGGGGTTAGATTCGAGGACAAAAGTAGAATTTTGGTTCGACATGACCCAACTGCTATGATCTAGGTCCTGTAAATGGCTTACCATAGTGGGATAGTCTTGGCCCGTGCCGTGCGTGGACGTGCTGATGATGCCGGCTATGGTCTGACCGGCGTAGTTGCCCATACACGGTAGACTCATGCCGTAATCCTCGTCGATGACACGGACGAAGTCGTGCAGCTTCATCCCGCCCTGGACCTCGATGTGGTAGAGCGAGCCGTCCTCTGTCTGCTTCTCTACCCGGAGAATCTTGTTCAGGTCCGTCATGTCTGGTGGCGTCAAGAAATTTCCGGTCAGTTCCAAAGTTGGGTTTTTGATAGGGAAGCACGTTTAGGTTTTTAAAATCTGACCCTTACACCGAGTAGTACGGGTGACAATTTGCGTTGACTTGTTCCCTTGCATTCATTCTGCTGCCTAAACTGAGGCTCGAATTGTCCTCAAGAATTTTAGATGTAAAAAAAAAAATACAGCCACAATGTGCCTTTCACGTTAGCAGAATAGTGACTCGAAACTTTTACCAGACAACCGTCAGTCTTTGGACTAGACAGTAGTGTCTAATTAATCAGGATAGCTGATAACCACAGACAACCTTTAACAATGCCAAGATTACACTAGAAAAATTCGATATTATTCTAACGCTGAATGGAATCTGGGACCAAGGTTGAACTACCGTCAAGAAGTCGACGATTAGACTTCACTGCATGCCTTTGTATAATTACCAGCACACCCAAAATGTGTTCCACTTTGCATGCCATGGAACGAATGTGATTCGGACAGTACTGTACAATCCTGATAAGGGTTCAATGCTTTGAATCAATTACGAGATGCCCCCCAAAATGGGCGGAACTCACCAATGAGTACGTCCCTGACGTTGGTCAGCTTGGACCAGGACGAGCCCGTGCCAACGGCGCGTACCTTCAGATCATTCTGCTGAGCAAAGCGGACGACAGCAGCTATTTGTTGGACAGGGTTAAGACCCTGTTTCAGTTCAGCTTTGTCCAACTTCATTCCTGATGATAATGGCAAAAGGACAGCCATTTATTCCTATTCTTATTTGAGATTGAGAGTAGATATAGCAACAATAATAATGATATCAAAGCATTTATAAGGCGCACGTTATCTAACAGTTTATCTGCAATTCAAAGGCACTGATATTTTATCATTATCCCTGCACATTGGGCTCACAACATGGAACATCTCAGCTCCCTAAGGAGTACACTAGCCCGATGCTGCCATTGCAAACAAGACGCAAACGGCTACACATTACCATGTCTGTCATCACAGGTACCCATGTACTCCCGGATGGAGAGGCACACAGCGGTCAAGTGGCATACTCATACCTAAGATCACAACATGCTGCCAACAGCTGGATTCGGACCCCCGACCCTATAACTACAAACCTTCACAACAAGGCAACACGCCCCCTACAGTACGGAGTACTTGAGCGAGTTAGTTATTCTAACTTTCGAGAGTTTTTTTTTAATTCGACAAACAACGTGGAAAATGTTGATGGGTATTCTGGAGGCTGGTCAACACCAGGGGTGAGATTGAAGGAAAATTGATATATCCAGGAAATAATTAACAGAGGTTTTCGGAGGGCCTCACAGTAACATTAGGTCTATGGTATATGTGTTTGCCTAAAGGCGCCCCTTACATTATCAGTTTCTTGTGTTCTGTGTCAACTTTGGTACATAAGAACAGTTGAGCGGTAAACTCAGAATTTTTCAGATATTAAAAGAGATTGTTTGAATTCGGGAAATATCCTGACAAATCTCACCCCTGCAATGCATTGAAACAGGCGAAAAGGTGAGATGCTGTGTAGATTGACTTTTATTATCCATATAAAAAGAAGGTGAAGATTGTGCCCAAATTTCTCAAGTTTTGTTTAGATGACTCGTCAACTCGTATCGCTAGTCAGTAAAAAACGCTTTCAACAACATGCAAAAACGAGTTCATTTTAGGCATTTTACTTTGCTAAATGTCCGTGGTATTTGTGTCAGATTAAATCAAGCCAGCTTTCACATGCAAAAACGTGCCCAATGAAATGACTATTGCGGGCACATTCCTTTGCAACTGACTTTGCCAACACCTGACCTTGGCAACTGCAAGTTTTAGGGTATCGCGTTTTGAATTTGCTCACATTTCGTCAATGATTTGGCATTCATAGAGCCCCAGGCGAGTCGGGAGCCAGCTAGCGTGTCCTCACCACAAAGGGTAGAGGGGCCTTGGCGCTGGAAACGCCCCGAGTTATGCCTGAGCCAGAGCTGGTTGGGAGCAAGGTTGCTGGGACTTTGTTCTCTCTCTCTCTCTCTCCAAATTTAGTTAACAACTTGGCAGCGTGTCACGGCAACCAAAGTACAGACACTTTTGTCCTTGTGCCGAGCGTTTAGCCCGACGAAACGATCGCCCCGAGGGAACACTCAAGTCTTTTCACGCAGGGGCGCGGATTAGCACCTGTACTAGAACAAATTGTTGGTAAATTTGGAAATCTCCATCGACGAAGTCGAGAGAGAGAGAGAAAGAAAAAAAAAATCAGAAAGAGAAGCCATCAGAAGCGGTGTCAGCATCTGGCTTTCCGCTCAGCGCTGTGTGGTATTTCTTCTCACAAAACACCTACCAAGTGCATGATGGCAACTGCACTATTTTCAAACATTCCGTGGTCTGGGTGACTCCCAGGGGAAGAGGAACGGGATTTCATGTTGTATTCCTTTCCCCCCAAGCTCAAAAGAGGGTCTGACGCGTACGGGACACCGAGACCCCGACACACCTCGACACCCAAGCCTTGCCTCCCTGCCCCCCAGTGGTTCACTGTACTGTCCACCCGGCGATTAAGACGCAATACGAGGTATGATTATGAAGGAGGCTCCCTTCCAAGGCGCAGCTGTGGGTGTCTAAGGTAGCGGGTCGCACGCGATGCAACGCGGTACCCTTTTGTCTCACTACGGTCTGTCAGTGCCGGCATTATGTCCATCATCTACCCCCCCCCATCCCACCCAAGAATGCTTCCGAAAAAAAAACACTCCTTCCTTTTAAACCAACTCTCCACATCCTCTGATCATTATTTTGTTTCTCTCTCTCTGATGGCTCTAAGACAAAAGAGTGCCAAAGTAGACTCGCAGTATTCGCCCGCGTCCTTAATTCTTCCGGAATCAACGCTGAAAACACTATACAGATGCCAGACAAATTGCATTGAAGATCGAGGCTACACCTGCTTGCTCTCTTGGGCAGACATGCTGTATAATCTCTCCAGTTGACTATATCATGTAGGCCCATATCCATAATCTTATAATATGAACAAATCCAAGTATACACGCATCAATTGACGCCCGTGGATTCACGAAATTAGCTTTTGTCCGTATCAAATACGAACTGCACGGGCTGTGACTGGTTTAAGTAACATTTGATAACGCACCGCTAACATTTGTCCATGCGCTCAAGCACAGATGCGTGTTACAGGCTTATCGTCACGTCGAAGAACAAATCTTGTAAGTGGGCCAAATCCACACTCCTACAAATGACCCGTATTCTGGCAGTCTAAAAATAACAGTCACGCTGAAGACAACAAATAGTATAACTCCGAAGAGATTCCCCACGCCGAATATAAATGCTAAAATCTCTGAGGCATTCGAGCCCAGGAACTCACCCCTGATCATGTTCCTTTTGACCGGCGTGTTGGTGGGCTTGAAATAGTCCACCAGGGGCTCCACGGTCTCCGTGCCGTCGTAGTTGTAGAAGACTTTACGGTCCCCGTAGGAGCAGCTCCGAATACAGGGGAAGACGGCCTGGTGGCAGGGCCTGAGGCCGAAGCAGCAGTCAACCATGCTGCAGGCGTTGGCTAAACCCTGGTACACTGACTTCAACATGGCGTTGCTGAAGTGATGATGGTGGTAAACACCTACAAGAGAAATTCAAACGAAATATGGCAATCGTATTAGAATCGTAACAACATTAGCTTGCCGTTTTTAATGGCTACCTTGTTTTTTATGGCGAGCCATAAAAAGTCGAGGGACGTCATTTGGGGTTAAAACAGCAGGCTGATTGTTTCCACGGGCAAACGGCGCAATTACCGGGAACTTTTATCTCTCTTACGATGCTCAGGTGGTCCGTATACTCAAAGAGCACTTTACCCTATGGGAAATCGTTACATCGGAGCTCTGGATGTACAGAGTACAACCGTTTTTCGAGATGCGCTTGTCATGTGCGTCCTGCTTGTGTTGAACTCAGATTTCAGGAATTAAACTACCTGTTGGATCGGACCTGTTTTATTAACCGTACAGCCGGGATTGGTACTCCGAGTATGTTAATAACTTTTGACGTACAGAAAAGCTCTAGGGAACCATTCCAGGAACACGGACGCAATGATGTAAAAACCATAAAGATCGAGTGTACACTCAAGAAAAAATCTTTCTTTGCCTTTAACCGAAAGAGGAAGTGAGAAGAATGTAACCGCGTACTCTCTGACACTTTCCCGATACTCCAAAAAATGTGAAATCAATCACAGGAAATGCTGCAATAGAGTCAGCAGATTCGAGTGAGTGTCGTTTTGCACGTAAAAGGGTTCCATCATTGTTCCACTCAACATACAAACTAAAAACTATTTTACCAATGAAAACGCAAATCTTGAAACATTACCAAACGTCATGTTTAGAGGAACTTAACTTGTCCAGTTCCTAAACGTCAGTGTTCAGTTGATAAACATCGTTCCCCAACACAATAAACGGTTTAGTAATGTGACCATATTTACAAACCAATAGCAAGAAAGTGTTTAGTAAGTGCTTATTTACTAAACATAGGCTTTGCAGTGCAGAAGGTAAGCTTGCTTGAGTTTGTAATTTATGATGCCTAGGTTGTGCAACCCAGTAGAGAGCACGCTTAACGAGTTACGTTGGCGCTGAGTCAGAACCACCAAAGACGGGACAACCTCCAATCTTATCTTCACCGCCCAGTAATGTACCACTTGTCTGACGGTCTCACGTGAACAGTCATCAAATATGCCGAGCTTTTTTTTTTCTCCTTCGGAAGCTCGAGTTTTTTCTGTGTGAGTGTGTTTCCACAACAGCCGTATGGCCCAACTCCGGTTACCATCAAAGTACAAGGGACCTTCCCAAGGCACCCATATAGCCGGGAGCTGGGCCAAGCGGGCTTGACATTGAACCGGCTTTGCAGCCGCTATATCACGTTTCCTCTCCGCTCACTTGCTGCCATGCCAGCCTCGGCACTCCAAGAGATCAAGGCATGAGAAACGCAGAGCGTTCCCGGCTGCCACGCTCACCCGTGCGTCATGTGTGGAGTTTCACAGCGATCCCAACAGGCTTCAGCTCTCCATATACATGTATATTATCATTACCCCCAGGCAATACGGCAAATACTACTTACACGCATGTGACATGTAGGCGACTCGTGGTAGAGAGAAGTGCATTAATTGCCAAGCCACCATCTTTGTTTTGATAGCGCGAAACGCCGGAGACAAAAGAAAGGTGAAGCCACCTTTTGTCTCCGACACTGTTTCCGAATGTGTCATAAGAGCATCGGACGCGCAAATCACTGACTCGAGGTGGCTCTCCTCTTCACTGTTGCACACTGCGCCCGGAAATCGTGCGCATTACAAGAAAAGTCTACGACTTCTTTTTGCAGTAAAATGCAAATTGTAGTGAACATCGGAGATACACACGTATGGATACATAGTACAAAGTACCATCAGATTTAAGAAATGCATGTATGCACCCAAGATCGGCCCTACTCGTCCGGAATTACATAAGCCTGGTGCACTTTCGTATGTCATAATACTATTGGGCCTATACGGCCTACACGCAAACTTTCATGATGAAACATACCTGCTTACAGCCCACGAAGTTGATCTACTTTATTCACGTTCAACCAACAGTTGCAAAAGAAGGTCCCGGGGGAGAAAGTGACAAGCAAGGGAACACTTTCTCCTCTGTGCTATTTGAGCCTGAGCAAAACGACTGCAGTTTTCAAAGGACTGATTGTGACGGTGCCTTGTCAAGTTGTAGTCGGGCAAAATATAGATTTGCGCCCACCGCCCCCGATCCGTTACATCACAGAGGCATCCCCCCACGCAGGCAACACCGTCAATTCACTACCAGCTTCGCTTCCGATATGTAAGTAGCTTTGCCATGCCAGGGGGGGACAAGGATTAAGTCTGGTCTGAAAGAATCCAAAGTCAGAGATATCGTTGTAATCCGGATTTGAGCGCTAGACGGATAAGCTGATCGCAAGGAGCGCGGCTGGGTCATAATCAACGTATGCGTGGGCTAGAATGAAAACGTCTTGGTACTTATGGGAAGGGGGGGGTTGATTTTGACGCATGACGTTTGGTGGTTTGGCACACTGGTACCGTTCTCACTGACAAACTTGATAATTATCTGATTCAAGTGCGGTTGCTGTTTCCTCTATGAAGATCGATAGATTACTACACGAGGCGCACCATATTAGGGAACCCGCATAACACTAGAAATGCACTACCGGTTCTGGACAGACGGGTTATACAGTTACACGTGGTGGATCAAAGCACCCGCGTAACAGCGAAAACTAATACTAACAGGATACACATGTGCATGTGTATGTATAATGAATGGTGTAATGTGGTCGCATGTGAAGCCGAATGTGAAACTTCATCAACATCATTGAGAGAAAATTCTGTCCTTCTTTCTGGAAATTGAGAAGAATACTGCATTCCAAGGAGGGAATGAGACGCAGATAAAAGTAATCGGTGATCACGAAAACTCATATTCAAGAAAATTACAGGCATAAATTGCAACTGATATAGAAATGAACTCCTAACTTCCGTTCAAGCAGTGTAAAGCACATCGGGTCTCCTCTCGCCCTCTCTCATGAGAAAGGACTTAAATGTCTGAAGGCCTTTCCCCGGATATGAGTGGAACCGAATGCAGGATACAATACAAGTCGGACTAATCCAATGGCGTTTTACTGGACATTCCGGATGGCCCCCTTTAATGGCGGAAATCACTGTGTCGGGCTGTGAGCGGAGTGACTGTCGTGGAACAGCGGCTCTGCACGAGAAGTTATCACTACGCTTTCCGCCGTCGGCGGGGCTGCTGGTAAAAGTGACCGGCGATGGCGTTGCCATGGTCACCGGATTCATCTATTCGGTCATACTTTGAGTTCACGGCTCGAGGAGAAAACTTTTCGAATGAACGGTGTGTGCTCGAAAAGACGCCACAGCATATTTTGTCCGGAAAAATACATATTGAAAATGTGCACTCTTTGATATGATTGACCAAAAGGGATGTCCAAATAGTTTTTCGTACATCTAACACGAGCAGAGAGGCGCACCACCTCCCGGGGTGCACGAAACATTCTCTGTAGTAAAATTCACGTCTCATCTCAGCGCTTTAAGGCAAACAAACAGAAAGCCCACATACTGACTACTGTTTTGATTTCATATTTATTGTCTCCTCAGTCCCCCCCCCCCCCCCCCCAATTGAGTTTGTCTGCTCCCACACCCTGAACTCATTGGGTATAATCACTCACAGGTTTCGACCTTCATGCTTTTCCAATAATTGCATCACCGGAAGCACAGCCCGATGCGGTCACGATTTGACAAGACTTCTTTTCTTCGCCTGTCCCGAGCTTCAAGAGGTGTGAGAGGTCCAAAAATACTGCGACATGAAGGAGAGTTTGCAGTCGGTAGCTAACGGGCGCGACCACCTGTCCATACCGAGGAAGATCAGATCCCACTTAACCAATTACTAGAACAAGTGATTAAAAAAATGTAAGGCATCGTGTGCGCTAGTTTTGACAAGGACAGGCTAGGTTTCAGGAGCCGTTCATTCTATCTAGCGTATTAGGATAAACGTGAAGGTGTGTGTGTGTGTCTTGATCTGCAATATCATCCCCAATCCCTGCAGTACCGATGTCACTAAAAATATGTAGACCATCTCTATCGCCATAGCATGTAATCACAAGAACCCTACATTAGGCACCAACATTAACTATCGCATTTTGTTTTACAAGTTATTTCCCACAATTTAATACTTTAACGTATAGCCCCAAAGATTCTGTCTTCCTCCTGGATACAGCACGATAAACTTTTCTATAAAATGGAAGGCCCTGCTACATCTCAGTTTAATCAGACCAGACACAGCACGATTCCGACTTCCAGCACTAGTGTCCGTTTCCCCTGCAAAACCTTGCTGGTATCACTGGAACACCAGCGTTATGTACAAACGCCCATTTACACAACGCAAAGCTGGTAATTGACAGTTGGAGCACGGTTGAGGCAGGGCGGAAGGCTACGGGATTTCCCAGCGTTGCCATCTTGTATCACTGTCGTGTCAAATCAAGCGTAAACAAGCCATTTTGTCTCCCCGATTAATTCCACTTTTCTCTGGTAATATATATCTCCGTTTGAGATGAAGTTTTTAAAAGGGGGTTCTTAAAGACAGCGGGGCAAACCGGATTACAGCGGTTAACTTTAAGCATCCGTGCACTTAAAGACTCTCCGTTTTGTCGCACAACTTGGGAGAGGGCAATTTGAGCAGCTATCGATCGTTGTAATAGACTTCTCTGCCCTAAAACCTATTCATGTTGGCAGTAAGAAGGTAAAATGTCTGGAGAGTAACCTGCCAATCAACCTGTAAGTTAATTGGGACTTCCGCCAACAGCCGAATGGCCAACGAAATGGTCTGTCTTTTCAACCCTGCAAGATTCGATTCAGCCATGCGTACGGTTAAGTATATTTAAGTATACAGGAACTAAGGAGTGTTCTTGGTTTCGAAGACATCCTCCCATCCTCCTTGATCTTATTAATACCCATCGGTAGCTGTATTTGAAGTTCAAAATACATGTATTCAGATGGGCACTGATTTTGCCCACATTTTTTTCCAATTTAGCAATGACGAAGTTTATATATATACGGTTGACCATGATGCTTTGCGATGATTATTAAATCTACAATGGCAAACTAGGAAAAGGCGACGAAATAGCAGCTTGTGGGGACGAAAATTATTTTTTAGCGCAGGGCGATAAAGGAAAGACAAGCTAACACCGTTCAGAAGAGGATCCTTTCCCACGTAGAGATTTGCAGATCGATGAAAAGATAAGAAAAGTCAACTTGGCCACAATCGCTAATGCAGCGGCAAGGGTATTAGGGCGATTAAATAGGAAGTGTTTCATTGACGGCCGACGGCGAGCCAACAAGCGCCATGTGACGAGTAGGATGGGCACCCTACCAAGGGGCCACAATGGCACTTTGTCACTTTGGTTGGCTAGCAGACTTACCTGTCCATTGTCGCAGCCAGCGCACCATACCACCGCGCGGCTGGAAGGCCAACCATAAAAACATGAACTGGTTAAAAAAAAATAATTTAGAAACTGGTGCCAAACTCCGCTCAGCATGCCGTTCTACCTCGGAGCTTTAAAAAAGACCAAGGGTGATAACTACATACCCAGCACAAGACCATACCTAGTGCCATGCGGTTTCATAGATGCTATTAAAAAGTCATGCAAATTATGGAAGTAAGAAATCCATGAGGCTCAGCTGGATGTACATGTACATTGTACTTACCACGCGCTGTGTGTGTGTATTGCAGGTAACCTTGATGTTCTTCTGCTTAAGCTCTGTTGTCAAAAAGTACCAATCTCTCTTCGGTATCCACAGGTATTTCCCGCTGAGAACTCTCTCAGGAGGAAAAAAAGGCGATAAACAGGATCTATGTTGACGGGACGAACTTGAAGTCACTGCTACACATTACGCGGGTACTATCCATAGAAAAAAAGAGACAACGGTTTATCGTTCACGTGCAGCTCACATGCAAAAACACACAGGTGCAACTTCTGAGCCTGAGAGCCGAATTGTGTACGTCCTGCTCCGACCTTGTTACCCGAGATTATGATCGACTAGCCTCGGATGCCGGGTGCTAAGATCTTGTGTGCCCGCTCTCGGCCTGTGCGTGCCAACCGCTCGTGTGTCCCAAGTTGTTTTGATGACGTCACCTGAGTTGTTAAGGAAAATTCCTCTTACTAGCTCTGCGTGTGTGCAAAATCAACAGACGATTGGGCTGGCGTAAACTAGGAAAGCTTCTCCTGAAATGGGTTTTAACGACTGAACTTGATCTTCATTCTTTTCAGAGGTGTTAACTGTTCTGGCGCTTACTTTTATTTTCCAATTATCTCCTTTTCATCTTCATTCCAAATTTGAACTTAATCATTTTTTGCAAGTTCCACCGTGGCACTTTTCTCCTGAGGTTCGGTCTTCAGATCGAAAGATTTGTGTACAGATGCGTGAGGTCACAATTTACACTGAGATTTCCTCCTCAGAAAACCCAAGGGCGTGATTTACCAGCGGCGAATCCAGCTTTCGGGGGGGGGGTTAAAAGGTGAATGCGGCTTCGAGCTTATTCAACATGATGTTGGAGGAGACAAGATATCAAAAGCCTTACTCAAAAATCCGTCGGGTGGGGCAAGTTTCAGAAATGTTTAAAAGTGCATCTACAAAGGTCAGGCCTCTTCTGTGACTATGGTTGTAAAAGTTATTTTTTTGAGCTCAATGTATTGTATCATAGAGCTAGGAACATTTGTAGGGAGTGCCTGGGGTGAAGCTGGTTACCCAGTGGATTTTGGTCTTGGTGAAGTCGAGGAGGGCATGAGTTGTGGTGTCCAAAGCGGTGGTTAATTGTGAATGGGATCACTTTGAACTTCCTGCCGATATAAATAAAGAGGTAGACAAAGCGACAGTGACACACACGCAGTTTAATAGTTAATAAAATAAACTGAAGTTGATCAATGCTGAGTCATATGGTGGTTAATAGATATTTATAGAATGTGGGTGGGATATCCCTCAAAAGGCGCACCTCAAGGCTATCTGGTAACCGGAAACGAAGGGAAAAGATCATACAGTGGAGTCAAGAAAATATACGAAAGGGTGGAAAACGCTGATTTCTGATGTCTATCGATCCCTGCCATCCCTGGGAAGCCCTCGGGCTAGTTGTTTCCTCCATCACACCCATCCCCACGACCGTATTATTCGAATTAAGGCAGAAATTGCACGACAAACTTAAAGTCCTCCCTTCCCTTTCTTTGGACCTGCGAAAATTATTCCTTGATTACTTGGATTAATTTTACTGCAATCAGAACCCTCCAGATTTTGACATATCAGTGTGAAAATTACGTCATTAAAGTAATACTATACCTAGTGATGTTTGAGGTTTAAAACTATAGGCCTGAAATTTGGGCAAAGGCTAGTAGGCTAATAGTTTTAGAACGACCTCGTCTTTGAAGGATGTCTGGTAACAGCCCACCCGGCAAGACTGTACCGAGGAGCGACCGATGAGTCACCTGGCAAGCCCGCTCAGTCGGGCGAGCGTCCCGCACGAAGAGAGAGGAATCCCTCGTGTCTCAAGTGATGCGGAGGTTTCGAGGAATCGGTGAATCCTCGTACCGTCTCGATTCCACCTGCTCAACGAGGACAAGTGGGAAGACACCCCCTCTCAATTTACATCAGTATTGCGGCAACCTTGCTCCCGCGTGACTCAACTGTACTCAGTGTCGAGTAATGAGAGGAAAATCAGCTGCGGATATCTTGAACCCGTTTATCGACATCTGTTGAGAAGATCGCTACCACTTCCTGTGCTGATGTCAGAACGCAAAACATAGACACAAATTATAAGGGAATAGTTGCATAGTGCATCATGACTTCTTGAGTTGAAATAGCGTAGATTGGGTGCACCAATTGGGAGAACTCAAGTTATATTTCTATGATATAATTCTCTAAAAACTCGTTCAATTTATGTAATCACTATCAAAAACGTTCATAATTCTTTATCAATATACGATGGTCCTTATGTGCCATTTGAGTTCCGAAACGAATTAGTTTTTGTCACCCATCGGAGAACTGGATAGCAGTGGAAAAGATTAATACGGGGAAAACGGGGAAAGCAAAACGCAAATTGTGCCGGGAAGAGTGATTTTTACTTGAAACGAGATTCTGTGACATTATTTTGTATACATATGGATTCAAATTATAATTCTGTCTGTTTTAACTGAAGAGTTTATCTCTAATGTTATGATCTTTGCATATTGTGGTAATACATTCATGTACCCATTATTTCCCCCGTCGACGCGGCTTTGCGAGTAGAAGAGAACGAACGGAAGTCACTTCATTGTTGGCGGTTCACTAGATCAACAATCACGGCACACCGCGCGCTCAGGGAAGATTGAACCGTCGGGGATTAACCGCATCAAAATGCCCACCATTCCGGGGGGAGATTTACCTAGAGGATTATCTCCTGGCTTCTGCCAGGCTGGACCAGAACAGTCTTTGGGTGCACTATCGGGTTCCTCTTTTTCTGCGGTGAGCCAAATGCCTACCTCAACACTTTGGAGGCACGACGCACGATCGAGGGCTTGTAACTTAGACGAGACCTCACATCAGTCCAAGATATGGTTTCCCATACACAAGAGCGTAATCAGGCGTGAAAGTGACTGATTGCGGGGAATCGGGACCAATTAATACTTCCGGTCCTGTACATAAGAGAATTTAGCAACCTGTATAGGTGTGAATGCGGAGTTCACATAAATCTGAAATATTGAATGGATGTTGGTGATTAACCCCGAATCAATGAACCTTTAATAGAGAAAGGGCATACAATTCAGTATTTTTGTATGTGTCAATAGAGGAATTTCCCCCAGCTCACACAAACAGAACAAATAATCATGAATGATGTACCCAAATCTAGTTCAGTGGATCAACCAATATAGTCTCAAGAAAATTCAATGATGGCAAAACGATTTCGACCAATTAGCATGGACTGAGCGAGGGTTCAGCAGCTCCCATCTTACTGAAACCACGAAAATCTTCGCCAAAACTATCTCGAATCAACTGAATTGTCGCGATAGAACGATCCCACCTGAACACCTGTACACCACTCCTCCCCCATCCCGGTCAGTCTCCCTGAGAAGACCCCGTGGTGCCGGTACATCGGTAATCTTCGCCGTGCCCCAACGCTGGCCAGCCCCCTTGTCTCTTTTAGAGCGTACCGCCGTGCCGCCCGGCCTTCACGCTGAGTGTTAATTGCCTCATGTGGCATACCGTCACGATCGTCTTTCCCCTCACCCTCTTCATCTGACAGCCGGCCTTCGGAGGACCAAGATCGGATCTAAATAGTACGCAGCGATGTCGGCATTTTAGGAGCTTGAGGTATCGACAGTTTGTCTAGACAAAGTAGGTCGTTTTGATCTTGGATTGTTTGTTTTTATGTTAAGGTGTACAAAAAGTTTGTATACTCATCATGTTGGGTGTATTAGTTTATGACATCAGTCATCTACAGTCGACAGAACAGTCATGGTGTGCATTATCAAAATGTGATGAGATTGTTGTGTTTTGTTGTCAATGAATGGGCAAGAAATTGTCGGGGGTATTACACTGCATTCAAATTGCGATATCGGACAGGTTGGAAAAAGTTTCTCGAATGCTCTAAAGCCTAGCAATTACCAGAATCCGGTTGTCGACTGGACGAGCTCGAGCAAGGTCCGGATTCTAGATTCCTCAGTGGATGCAGCTCACGATGCGGAATTGTTGCCCAGAACAGGATTTTCTTCGATCAGAGTTTGACGAAATGCTCGAAATAAGAGCCTTTTTCTTGCAAACACAGCCCAATTTCCGCTGCAACACTTGAGCGTCGGTTGTGCGATCCGTCTTTTTTGTTGCGTGAGCCGTCGGTAAACTTCCTCTTTTCATTTGTGATTTTTACCGCGATCATCCGAAAGTTACATTTTGTCCCCCTTTTGGCCTGGCCGACAGGCCGACCTCCACACTCCTCTAACGGTCGGCTCTTCGCTCTGTTTATCCGGTTAACAAACAATGGGCAATCAAATCTACTTGTAAGTTTTGGCGCGTTGATTGGTATCCTTGTTCGCAAACAACAACGAGGAAAGTATAAGACGGCTTGTGGTGGGACTCCGGAAATAGACTTTTCCTGCTTCTGATCAGACTGAACGGCTTTGCGAAAACTTTTCCACATCTCTGTGGTTTTTATGTAGGCCTATACGAGGAAAGACAGCGTGAACAGAGCCAACCAAGGATGCCTTCACTTCGAGTGTGTTCTTGATTGGCGTGAAGAGCTAATATAAAAAACGTTGTATGTAAAGTTATTTTTATTGCCATTATACGAGTCAGAATTTCGACGTTTCCAGAGCAGTTCTGTCTTCGTAGAACTCCCACAGTTTAGCCATCGATTAAACTTTAAATTAAATCGAGTGAAGCACAGCGGGGAGCTTCAAGTTTTAACATGAACCCCGAGCTGGACCAAGAAACGGTGCAATTGTCGTGGCAACAGAGGCTCCTTTGATGGGGACTGCACTTCGCTGGTTCACGAACGACTATGAAATGCACAAGTTGCGGGGGCGGGGGGCTACCAGCAAAATGAACATTCCCACCAACACGGCTCTGTTCAACCGAGGAGGAGGGCTGCTTCTGCTCGAGGCGGCTAGGACCTCACAACATTTGATCGAGGCATTTGCTTACACTGACAATCGATCAAAGTCCCATTTTTTTCTACTAACAGTTCTCAAAGGGTATCAATAAGCAGAATATTCAGCAAAGCAAGCAAGTTTATCATCCATTGTTTGGGGTTGGGACTCTCTGGGGGTTGCGGCCATAAACAAAAAAGATTACCACCCTCACTTGATAAAAAAATCAGGAAAACATCCTGAATACTTCAAGGCGTCCAACATTAAATACACGTGAAGCAAACATTAGCTTTGGCTGTCATCTTTCACTTTCTCTTTTAATGTTTCTGATAACTTTTGAGTGGAGTGCAAAAATGATCACCCCAGAAGTATTTCCAAAGCCCTCTGCCCAATTCCACTAAAAAGAAACATCCCCTCGCCTCTGTTGCA